GGCAGGAGACGGGGGGGGGCAAATGGCTTCCTCCCTGCCTCTCCCCACCCCTGCCTGCCTGGGGCCAGGGAGGGCCTTTGCGGAACTTCCTTGCACTCCCGCCGGCCTTGCAGGTCCACCGCCGGGCCCCTCATGGGGCTCGGCAGTGGAGCTGCAAGGCCGGCGGCGGCCGGGACCATTGGGGGTGGGGTGTGTGGCCTTATGACACACTTCCGGTGATGTCAGGGGGTGTGGCATATGCTAATGAGTTATGCTAATTTCCCCTAGCTCTTTTTCTACGAAACGACCCCTGGCAATGACTATTAGCTTGTTAGAAACTGGGTAAAACGTGCAGATTCATAGGGGCTAGAAACTTGGTGGAGTTCTTATTTCAAAGAGAGATTTTTCAAACACAATACTGAATTCTGCACGCACCGGGGTGTGTGTGTGTGTGGAATTCAGAGCAACGGGAGAGAAACAATTCAAGGCCTTCTGCCTGCTTTCCTTCCCCCAGGTCTGCTGGATGTCTACGGCTTTGAGTCTTTCCCTGAAAACCACCTGGAGCAGCTGTGCATCAACTATGCCAATGAGAAATTACAGCAGCACTTTGTTGCCCATTTCCTGAAAGCACAGCAGGTAACGCCCTTCGGGGTGGCCCACCAAAGCAATAGGCTGAGAGTTCATCTCCCCCTCTGAAGAGCGTTCTTGTGTTGGTAGCCAAGTCACTGGCTAAGTTGACCATATCCCTTAGGTGAAGTAAGAGGGAGCTAGCTTTGGATGAGCTGTCCTTGCAAAGCAAAGATGGTGGTGAAGGGGAACATGACAGAAGGGAAGCTAAACGCTTTGTTGCTCTGGAAACTAGCCCCACGTATACGGAATGAATGATCTGAGAAGTGAAGGTTTCCCCTCTTATGCCACAATTTGGCCTCCGGAGGCAGCCTTACGTTTCCCAGGGGCTGGTCTGAAGGTACCTGCATCGGCCATCTTGCTGAAATTAGGCATTGAAACACCAATGATTAAGTACATTTTATGTGGGCGATAACCCTCAGAACAAACACCTAAAGGTCCAGTGCTAGAGTAAAAAATGGGCATTGCCAATGCAGGGATATCATCTGAATGCGCTGCTAAGCAGTTGTTTGCCTCTGTTTCCCTAGGAAGAATATGCTGCAGAAGGACTGGAATGGTCTTTCATAAATTATCAGGATAATCAAAGCTGCCTAGATGTCATCGAAGGCAACCCCATTAGCATCTTCTCTTTGATGAATGAGGTTGGTCTGAAGCGCTTCCATTTTCCTTCAGTATTTAGCACGTCTTTCCTCCACCGCTTTTAAAAGCCTGGCTTGTTTTTGGTTTTCAATGTGAACCCGGACATCTGTGCTTGGGTCTGTCCACTGCGTGTTCCTCACTTATTTCTCAAAGGCGACAGTGCCCGTAGAAATGTTGTTTGTCAACTACTTGAGACATTTTGGCTGGGGAGAGCATGATAGAAATTTTAATTGTAGATCCTTGGAGTCTGTGTGGTTTAGTGGTTAGAGTGTCAGTCTATGATTTGAGGAACCCAGGTTCAGATTGCGACATTGCTATGGGAACTTGCTTTGCCAGTCCCCGAGCCCGTAGCCAGGATTTTGTGGTTTGTGGGGAAATTTTTTTTCTGGTGGGGCTGCCATTATTTGCCATGATTTCTGTGTGTACTCAACTGGCAGGGGAAAAGGGGACTCCCCAGGTTTTGTTTATATACTGCATGGTTATGTCTCTAAAGAAGCACCTCAGGGTTTGTTTTTTCAAGAGTGCAGAGCTGCCAAGAAGGGGAGCAAAGTCCCTTCCCAAAGCAAGGAAACCACCTGTCCTGAGGGAAGGGGGGTGAAGGACTCTCTCCCAGCCTCCAGCTGGAGAAGGAGGTAGTGCAGGTCAGGGTCTGCAACCAGCGGCAGAAGGAGAAGCACATGATGCCACCTGATGAGCCGCCCCAGCCCCACAGCAAAGCTCAAGCTGCGTGTTTTTTTAAAAAGTCTTTAAAACAAAAAAGTTGGGCGTGGGAAAGTAAAAGCAGCTGCCGGCTGGTATTCTTGGGTCTGCTCTCAACTCTGCTTTTTGCGGCGCGGGAGCATGCGCCTTTTTAAAAATGCTTTAGAAAAGTTTTTTAAAGGTTTTTAAGGGGAAAATCTTGTGGGGCTGTGCCTTTAAGAAAGGGGGCGGAGCCCCAAATAGCTCCACTGTAGCTACGGGCCTGCCAGTCACACTTTCTCAACCGAACTTATCTCACAGGTTTGTTGTTGTGAGGCTCAAATGGAGAAGAGGATACTGTTGTAAGCCATTTTGGGTCCTCCTTGAGAAGAAAAGGATGGTAGATGTGTGCGTGTAAAGTGCCAGCAAATTGCAGCCAACCCCAGCAAGGGGTTTTCAATGCCAGTGAGAAGCAGAGGCGGTTGGCCATTGCTTTCCTCTGCAGAGTCTTCCTCGGTGGTCTCCCTTCCAAGTACTGACCCTGCTGAGCTTCCGAGATCTGACGAGAACAGGTTATACCATGCCACCCTCCCTCCCTAAAGGCATAAATGAAGTAAAATAAAGTAATAAAAAGGATTTTGGTAATATGGACCATCTACATGTCGGTTTTCACCCATTTCTGTAAGCCCTCAAATCAACTTTGTTAAGTTTAAATGGATGAAACAGATTTCCATATTTATTTTAACACTAGGCACAAGGCCTGTTGCAGGAAGAGAGGCAACGAGCCCTAGAGAGAGGCCGCCGGAGGGGCCCCCCCCCACGCACTGGCAAAGGAGAGTGGCTACCCGGCAGCCAGGCTCGTGCCTCCCCCCCCCTGCCCCGTGCTGGAGGTGGCGGCTGCCGAAGGGGGCAGGCCTCGCCTGTCCACAACGCCGCATGCTGGTGGCGGCGGCAGCGGGCCAAGCGGGGAGGGCTGGCTCCTTCCCCACCCGCTCACCCACTCAAGGGCCTGGCATGCCAAGGCGGTCGGCCTCGCCCCTCTCCCCACTGGCCTCCTGAGCAAGCAAGCGAGCGGCGCACGTAGTGTTCCAGCTGTGCGTGCACCAAGCCGGCTAGCCTTATCCCTCCCCCCACCCCCCCAGCCAATGGCATGCCAGTTGCCCCGAGTGGCAGCCGGCATGCCAATGGCTGAGGTGGAGCGCATTTCCTCTCGCCACCCTATAGGCCGGTGGCCACCCAAAATCCCATTTATAATAAGGAGAGATTTCTTCAACTGCTTTTCTAAGGCTCTACTTGACACAATGTATGGTCAACCAATGAAACAAGTTTAAAACTGATTAAAAGATTAAAAATTAAAAACAATCACCATTTGAACAGATCGGGGTCTGGATTTTAAACCCACTGTAAAGCATTGGGGCAAAAGTGACCCTGAAAGGCCTGTGCAAATACAACCATCTTAACTGACATACAAAATGAAGGAGGGAGGGACATTCTAGCGAGGACATTCCAGAGCTGAAGGGCCACCACTGAAAAGGCCCTGCTTAAGTGGTATCTGGGAGCGGGATCCAAGGCTTCAAGGAATCATTGCTCCACGTTCTTGCTTCCTTTCACAGGAAGGCCGTCTCAACAGGGCCTCTAATGCCAGCCAATTCCAGACCCGGATTGAGGTAGCTCTGTCCAACAACCAATGTATTAGCCGTGACAAGTTTAATAAGAAGCCGAATTTCATCATTGCACATTATGCTGGCAGCGTCTGCTATCAGGTGGAAGGCATGGTCAAAAAGAATAAGGTACAGATCCTGTGTGGATTTGATCACCATCTACTTACCAGAGTACTTTCTTTGTCTAACATCAGTTCCTCCGGCTTCCTTATGTGAGGTGAAGCCAACAATGGGTGGGAGATGGTGGACCACTGGATGAATTTCAGTGGACCATCTGCATGGATTCTGGGGGTTCTTGCAATGAATGATGGCCTAAAGGAGCCACCATCTACAGAGGCAGCAGACCTCCAGATATCTGTGTTGGGAAGCAGCAGCAGGAGAAGACCTCGGCCTTTGTGCCCCATGGTTGGACCTCCAGGGTAAATGATTAGCTGCTGTGTGAAACAGAATGCTGGACTAGATGGATCACTGGTCTGATCCAGCAGGGCTCTTCATAGATTTCTACCCAGCAAGGCATTTGTTTTGGTCATAAGCAGGAGTGTTTAACAGGAACTGTGGCTCAGTGGTAAGTCTCTCATTTTGCATACAGAAGGTCTCAGGTTCGATCCCCAGCATCTCCACTTAGCAGACTGGACAGTAGTGGCAAGCAATGCTCCCTCTAAGCTGCGGAGTCCTGTGAGCAAAAGTTCTACTTTGTGAGCTACTGGCATTAATGTTGTGAGCGAGCGATTTGGCCGCTGCATAAATCAGTTTGCTCTGGAGCTGTCCTTCTTGAGCCAAGACAAAAATATGTGAGCTGGAGGCTAAAAAACTGTCAGCTAGCTCACACTAACTCAGCTTGGAACACTGGTGGCAAGTAGTCATTCTTCTGTCATTCTACATAATGCGTAAAATGGAATTGTTCAGGAGATCATTTTTATAGAAGTAGTAAGGCTGCATTAAAATGGAATTATTTAGGAGGATGCTTTGTAAAGGAGCAAGGGCTTCGTGCAGGGGTCCGTAACCTTTTTCAGCCTGGGGGAGCCTTTGGCATTCCATCAAGAGGGTGGTGGGCAGAAATACAAAATGGCAGCCACGGGAGGTGGAGCCAGCCACAAAATCGGAGGGAAGGGGGTTTAACACGTAACTCAGACAGCAACTCTTCAGCATTTCTGGCAGAAGCTCCATTTAGCAGGATGCCTTTTAAAATGAACATAACTGCCTAGAAATATTCTTCCTGCATAAAGTAAAGGTAAAAGTTTCCCTTGCTCAAAAGCCAGTCGAATCTGACTCTAGGGGACGATGCTCATCTCCATTTCCAAGCCAAAGAGCCAGCGCTGTCCGAAGACATTTCGGTGGTCACGTGGCTGGCATGACTAAACGCCAAGGTACATGGAACGCTGTTCCCTTCCCACCAAAGCGGCACCTATTTATCTACTTGCAATTTCTTGCTTT